TACCATCTGGCTGGAGTTCTAGCCAAATCCACATGGGGGTGTGTGTGTGGATTTTAAACACTCACTGAGCGTATCCCCTCTATATCTAACCATATGGGAGCAGCGCGGTGTTCAGCCTGCCAGCGGATGAGTAGGGGCTCAGTGGGCTAATTCTGCATAATTAGCTTTTTGGCAATGGGGTCACAAATGGTGGGAAAGCTTTTAATTAAAAAAAAAAAAAAAGAGAGAGCGAGAGAGTGGTTTAGATTTAAACCCTGAGCTCTGCTGCATCCCATTACAGGAGCTGGCCTGCTGCAGTGTGTTGCGTAGTTCATGCCACACTGAAAGCCTGTGTAGGTAGATAGAAATGAATTGCAAGGAACTAAGTGGAGGTGGATGCATGATGGAATTCACATATCTCGCAATGCAGCCCCATTGCTGCTGTCATTCCACCCTCTAGCTTGAACTATGAACCCCTGTGAACCCCTAAACAGAGGTTCCTGGCCACTGGATCGGTGTAGCTGTAGCCCTTTCTCTATAGCCCCTTTAATGTTTCTTTTCTACCAGTCTGTCTGAGCCAGCAGAGGGGCTCACCCCTGGCACCTACAGGTTGTGGCACCATTGCACTTGTGTGCACACATGCGTATAAATTACCTGGGAGAAGAATGTTCCCTGGAGATACTGGAATCTTTTCTTGCAGGTGCTACAGTCAAGAGCACTGTAGAAATAAAACATATTCGTGGGTCTCCTGTCTATTGATGATGATGCCAGTATTGCATGTCCCCACTGTAAATGTTATTCTCTGTTGACAGGGATCTGACCGATGGCTGTTGTTTTTAAAACTGAGAGCTAAATCAATATCGGTGTTCTATAGAGTGCTTCATGAGCTGGAAACTTGATGAAGTGTCACCATGCTGGGGACTTGGACTAGAAGACCTCTCAAGGGCCTTTGCAGTTGTAGGATTCTATGATGCATTAATGACTGATGTTTGTGAGTGTATTATGATGTATTCCTGCAATTTTTATTAGCTAGGAGGAGCTAGGCCAAGGAATGTAGCTCTTTTAGAGACTTTTGCCCCTCCCAGTGCTCCCTAGAGTTGGGGGAGGAGGGGAGACCCTTAGATTGATGCAATAAACATATTAAAATAAAAATCTAAAGTGTGTGGCACAGGAAAAAATTACCAGAAGCAGATGGTGGAACAGTAAATGAATGGGAATTGGCAGCAAATATAAGCAAATCCAGTTTCATCAAAGCAGGGAATGGGAAGAGAAATAATCAGCACATACCACTGTGCAGTGACCATGGGGAATCTCTTCATTCACTGGAGGGCCTCCCAAATCTAGTCCTTGGCAGGCTTGCATGTAAATTAATACTGTCAAGGACTTTATCTAGTACAATGCCTGTCGGCGTAATGTGAACTCCTCTGTGGAGGGTACATTGTCAATACCAAGCAGCATCTCTCTTCTTTCCCTCTTGATTTTCCTATATGGAAAGAGCCAGTTACTGCACTAGAAAGATTATTCGCCGCCAACAAGTTATGCGCATCCCCTATGAGTTTCAAGAGAATAGCCAGAATGCAATTAAATTCATCCTTATTAGCATTAAACCTGAAAGCAACCAAGTCAAAATATAGCTGAGCAATAATCCCACAAGAGCCTGGAAACAGAGAAAGAAGCTGCTGCAGCATTCTTAATTCAGGCCTCTTGCACTCGTGGCTTTTGACATGCGTGTTTTGATGCTGGGCAGTACCTGTCTGGTAGACAGAAGTACTGCATAAGTGACACACCAGCTAGTTAGAGCAATACCTATGGAAAGATCCTCTTGGATTTAATAGAATGGTAAGGTCGCCATTGAACTCCTAAACCAACCTGACAGGAATGATGGTCCAGTTGTTAGGGCATTAGCCTGGGGCTCTGGAGAGCCTGGTTCAACTCTGTTCACCACAGACTACGTCTGTGATCTTGGGCAAATCACTTAGTCTCTCTGGGCCTCAGTTTCCCCATCTGTGCAATGGGGGTAATAGCACTTCCCTGCCTCACTGGCGTGTTGTAAGGGTAAATACATGAAAGACTGTGAAGTGCTCCAATACTATGGTAATGGAGGTCATGTAAATACCAGAGCGGGAGAGAACCTGTAGTACTCTGTAGTGTGGGATTTTCAAAATCATCTAATTAGCTTTCGGTGGGACTTGTGCTCCTGAATTAGTTAGGCATTTTTGAAAATCCCAATCTAAATTCTTAAGGGTCTCAATTTTAAAATTCACAGGGGTCAATAGGAATCTTTCCATAGACTCCGCTGGGCACTAGGTTTCTGCAGTTACAGAAACTTGTTCCAATAAAACTCCATTGCTTTTGTTCCTGTTAGATTCCATAGGACTCTTGTTGAACCAACTGAAATCAAAGTGTCCCCAGAACAGGTAGCTGTAAACAGCATGTAGGACAGCCATATGTGTTGGGCTAATTTGTAACTGACTTTCAAAGAGACCCGACTGACGGTAGTAGGATCAGTATCTTTCCTTCTCTCTCTACCTCTTTGCAAAGGCTACATAGTTCCATGTGTCTTTAAAAAGAACAAATACTAAAGCAAATTTTCTTTAACAAAAAATCAGTGCCAGTTGACCAACGCTCATGAGCAGCCCTGTGCTGGTGGGTGGGTATGTGTGTGTGTGTGTGTGAGAGAGAGAGAGAGAGAGAGATTGGGTTGGGAATATCTCAGAACAGGAACATTCAGGAGGGGTCGGGGGAGAAGGGGAGAGATATAATGGCCAGTACTTTGACAGTTTCTAAATCGTCTGTTTGCTGACACAATAGTGTAAGATGCCTCTTCCCACCCCATTTAATGTAGTACCTGAGGATTCCTAGCATGAGCAGGCTTTCGGAAATCTCTGGAAGGATGTAGCCAGGTTTCCACTGCTGCTTTTGGCTGCAGACCTCAAGGTCACAGAGTGTGAAAGGATCTTTGCGTCTTTACGATGGTGAGAGCTTTCTGGGACGCAGCAGACTGCTGGAGCAATGGAATTTATACAAAGTAATGGGTGGGCATAGCAGTAATCTTGTATGGGAAGCAATCGGAATACAGGCAGATTACAAAGGAGAGTGGCCCTTTAAAACTGATGGAAATACTGATGGAAGGATTTCTGTAGAGAAGCTGGAATGCTTCTTATTTTTCCTGACTCTGAAACCAGTCACCTGTAGCTTGGATGTGCATGGTATAAAATCGTACCTGCCAAATCCTGCCTGGCACTTTGGCAATCTGCAGTGTTGACTGATGGGCACTTTAAAGGAAACTGAATGGCACTTGCTGTCAGCCTCCCACAAGTGAATCTTCATTCTCTACCTTTTTATTCTGGGATCATAAAGTGTATTCTGTAGTGGAAAGTAATTTCACCTTGCCTCATGGAACATACTGTGATGCCAGAGGTAGAGAGTTTGAATTATTGGCTGCAGATAAAGATATCTGACAAATGTAACATTCTTTCTGTTCATGCGCTGATCCTCATTTCTGCAAATTGATTCATTATTGGCAAATGCTAACTAGTGTTTGTGAATAAATATAATTGCATGGGGTGTCTGGACTGGTTACTTCTGGCTCTTTGCAGCACGTGATTTATCATCTAAGGTGGGATGCAAGCAAGTGTCAGAGAGTCACAAGCATCCAGTCCTTCCTGTGTGGGTAAATGGAGGTGGTAGGAAGGCGTCCCATCTAGGTCCTGGCTAGATGGGATGTTGATCTTGGGTGAATTCTGGCATGGTAGAAGTTGAGAGCTGACCTAAGTCACACTGAAGTGTTCCTGCTCCCTGATTGCATGGTTGAAACGCTTTAAAAATAGCAAATTCTGTTGGTGGTGGATAAATACTCTTGTCTGTACATTAACCCCAGGGGTTGTGTGAAAAACAGCCATTCCCCCAGGGCATGTGCAGACAAAAACCTGTTGATGGAAATGTCTGAGAATAGCAACGAGAAGATGCAAGCATGGTAAAAATGAACACTTGTGAATTCAAATGGATGCTGATGGGTGCTGTAGTGGATAGCATTCACTCAACTCAGTGTGCCTCCAAGGGGGACAAGGCTCTACCACAATGTGAATGTGAAATAATTCTGCCTAGAATCAATAGACTAAAGCATTAAAGAATTCTCCCCGTTGAGAACTGATGGTGGTAATTGCTGCCCTGTTTGGTGCATGAAACTTAATATTGGATAAGGTGCCATGGTGGTTTTAATGTGAACTGGGAGGAGTGTACATCTAGCGTTTCATGTTCCTGTAAGCCTCTCTGGGATGGCGGAAGAGGGGAAGTGTTGTGGGGTGTTTTTGTTGGTTTGTTTTTTTGTTTTCTTTGTAGTTTGCCGTAATGCCAACTAGGAACTATTAGTATTAGTTGAACTAAAAATACTTTATAAAGGCAACCAGATGGTGCAAAATCTGAAGAATTATTTGGTCATGTTGGTGGTGTGTTGGGTCCTGGGACCCTGTGTGAAAACGCAAGGACATTTTACCGACTCCGCCTGAGAGACAAATTGGTTGGGCCTCATTGGCTACAACTCAGAAGACAGGTGGAGAGTCTCCAGTGAAGGACACAGGAGATCTTGCAGAGTGGAAACCTCAGGCTAAGCTCTTTTTTCAGATTAAAGGAAAAGGTGATCAGTATTGGACACTAAGATGGCATTTGTGGGCTTGTTGAAAGCAGGGTGAGGACTCTGCTCATTCAGAATGTGATTGACTGAACTCTTGCTCAGGCTTTGGTCTCCCTCAGCTGTTCAAATAGCTACAGGAAGGCAGCTTTGGAAAACTGCTCCTATTTTACCATCTCACAATCTGCTGCTAATTCAAAGTAGGTCACTAGAAATGGCAAATGGCATTGTCTGATGTTCCTAATTACCCAACTCAGGAAGTGACAGGCAGATGTTACTGGTCATGCAATAAATGTAGCTGAGCAGTGGAAACTGAAGTAAGCATCTACACATCCATAAAGTTTCCAATCTGACCCACCAAAGCTCAGCTGATCTTGGAGTACTTGTATAGTGAAGATAAAGTTCCACTGGTCTGGGTTGGGGTGTTGGGGCTGTGTGGTTAGTGTTCTTCCCTGCAGACGAGTTGCCACATGGTTTAACCAGCTTGCTAGGAAGATCGGCAGGAGGAAGGCCCGTCAGGCAAAGGCTCGTCGCATTGCTCCATGCCCAGTGTCAGGGCCAATCCGACCCCTTGTGAGGTGTCTCACTGTTAGGTACCACACGAAAGTTCGTGCTGGCAGAGGATTCACCTTGGAAAAGCTGAGAATGGCTGGCATCAATAAAAGGGTTGCCCGGACAATTGGGATGCAACACGTCCACAGAATCCCTGCAGGCCAACGTGCAGAGACTGAAGGAGTATCGCTCCAAACTTATCCTCTTCCCAAGGAAGCCCTGTGCACCCAAGAAGGGAGACAGCTCTCCAGAAGAACTCAAGATGGCAACTCAGCTCTCTGGACCTGTTATGCCAATCAGGAACGTTTACAAAAAGGAAAAGGCCCGTGTTATCTCTGAGGACAAGAAGAACTTCAAAGCCTTTGCCAGCCTGCATAGGGCCTGGGCAAATGCCCGTCTCTTTGGAATCTGTGCTAAACGAGCCAAGGAAGCTGCAGAGCAGGATGTGGAGAAGAAGAAATGAACTGTTCTCCCTCGAACTGTTAATAAGAGTGTAGAAATGTAAAAAAAACAACAACAACAAAAAAAACCGCTCAGCTTCCATTCCAGGACCTTGCCAGCTCAGCAGGACTAACAGCACTTCACTCCAGGGGAGGACACCTCTTACTTTTCACCCTGTTTATATGTGGTAAAAGTAGGGGATAGAGCTTCAGGTCCACAAATCCAATCAGATTTTTGCAAGGGCCACTTAAGATAAGAGAGCTGAGAAGATAACCAATCACAGCTGGCACCAGAAGAAGGGGAAGAAAAGAAACAAATCTGGGGGGAAAGCAGCACATCCTCTTAAGCCCTGAACAGCAATTATGGTGAAGTTTAGATCCCTGATATACATTGGCATCCAATAACTTCCATTATTTAGGTCCAATTATTTTTACAGTTAATGTGCTTTAGTTACCTTCAGTAATTAACTCATAAAGTCTTGTCAGTGGAAGTGAAAATTGCTTCCCCCCCTAAGGATAGTGGATAAATTACCCAGTCTGATGGGCAGGTGTTTCCCAAAATAAATGGAGCCAAAATGTTATTTATGCAGCTGTTAACCCAGTTAGGGGCAGCTGTTGACGTTTCATGCCTGCTATGCTATATTCATCCTGTACTGACATGGCAGGGTGAATTGGCAGGTTTCTTCCTTAGTTCCAAAGACTGACTTGAGCTTCTGGTTTAGCATACGGGGAAGATGCCTGCTTACCCAGGTGGTGGTGATCCATCTGGCTCTTAGCAAGCTGTAACAGTACAGTGTGACCTTGTGACTAGAGCATAGGACTGGGACTTGGGAGACCTGGGTTCTGTTCCTGGCTCTGACACTGACCTTGAGAAAGCCACTTCCCTTCTCTGTGCTTGTGTTTCCCCAGGAGACAGCCCCTGCCCCCAGCACAAGAGGGCCCTGATCTCAGTTGGAGGCTCTGTAATGCTACTGCTATTCTCCATCATCAGGCTTAATTAAATACAGTGTAATGTGATATGCCTGGGTATTATCTTCAGAGAGCACCACAGCGCTTCTCAGACTGGCGCTCAGAGGGAGCATGTGTGAATGCAGGTTTAAGGAGATGGGGCACGCTTGTCCATCTAAATGGCTGCAGTAGGGGAATGGAAAGCACTCCAAGGAGAGTCGTAGTACTTAGCACTGCATACAGCACTCGATATAAAATGCTTTGACATTCTTAGATTATGAGGATAAAGATTATCTCTCTTTGATGTACTAAAACTAAGCTACAGAGGGAATTTGATATGAAATGGTGCAAGCTGCCCAAAGCCACACAGCAAATAAGTGGCAGACCGGGATGTAGAAGTTCAACCTTGACTCCCGATCTCTTGTTCTCACCGGTGAACCACATGGCCTCCTAAGCTGTGCAATGTCTGCCTAAGAGCAATAGGAGTATTTCCATAGTTTTTTTGAGTGCGTGGGAAAAGGCTCATCTTTATCATTCCCTTGCTGCTTGCAATTCAAACAGTCAGGTTCTCAGCAGTAGCTCAGTGCTGCAATGGTTAATCGTCCAAGGTAAGTGACATGTAGATTAAATGTACAAAATGTTCAGTGTTAATTAGTTAGCATGCAGTGCTAGAAATGTGCTAAGTCATTTACAGATATCTGACAGGGTCCCTGACTGATGAGAGGGCAAATTAAGTGAATGTATAGATGAAGGAAGGGGCGGGGGATAGGATATAAAAGCAAGTGTTTGCTAATATAAGGTATTAGGAACCTAGGAATGAGACTCATTAAAATGATACATATGATTAACAGTGTTTCTGTAACCTATGTGCACCTCTCTATAAAAATACAATTCGGTGAGGTGCATAAAAATACATTGATCTTAGGTCACTAGTGGTTTGAGATCTCTGGGTGGGAAAGTATTGTGGAAGTGCAGAGTAGTTCCCTCCTAGAATGAGTGTGTTGCATGTGTGTTTCTGTAGTTCCTGCTGGCGCAAGATCCAAACCTGCCTGCGAACAGGGTAATTGAGCTGTAGTACTGAACTGATGTTTTGCATTCAAAACCATGAGTGGGTCTGCCTCATCTGTAATTATTTAATTATGAGAATGCAGATGTGCAGGTCAAAGGCTAAGCGCCACAAAAAGACTATGTATTTTTTGCCAGAAGGAATGAGCATCCTCTCTAGTTGAATTTTTCATTAGGCCACATGAAGAGATGGGACAAGCCTTGAAATAGGAGTGTTTCCCGGATGACAGCCTAACCCTTAGTCAGTGACAGGGGATGCAGGGCTGGAGGAGTGCTACTGAAGTGGAAGCAGTATCCTCCTCCTAGGACAAATACCACAAAGGTGACTGAAGAGATTATAGGGTATTAAATTCTCCCCTGTTTCCCCCCCTTTAATCTGTTTGATCTCTCGAGGTACCTAGGTTCACAGTATCGGGGTGCCTCCCAGATACTCGGCAATATTATTTGTATCTTTTTCTTCCTTTTTGCTCCTAACTTGTAGGAGGAACAGCTTGATTAGCTTGGCTATTGTAGACTGGTGTGAGTCAGGAGTGTGTGTGTGTTTAGAACTTATTTGAGGGGGAAACTAAGTGGAAGAAATGAGTCTTATGTTTAGCTCTGAAAGATTTCTGAGCTCCCTGCAGGGGTGGACTCATGACTGTTCTGTACACTGAGTCTGTTGGATGCGTGAGCAAGCTAGTCTGGTCTACTTCAAACCAGCTCTAACACTGTGGGTTCAGAATTCCAACTTGTACGTTGCTGAAGTTCGATTTATGCTTCAGGTTTTGTCCTGACTGGGAAAAAGGTCACGTTTAGCTCAGGCTCAGCTAACACGAATTAGCTAATCCTGAGTTAAACCTGAACGCTTTTCATAGACGCTAGGAAAGGAATGAATAAAGAGGCCAGAGTTAAAACACAACTGTTTAGAGACTGGGAAAAGGACCAAAGTGAGGAGGAGATTCTAATATTTTGGGGGGAGAGAATCTTTAAACACCCATGTGCTTCAATTTATCTTTGAAAGTATTATGGATAAGACACTTGACTGGGGATTCAGATCTCTGTTCCATTCCTGGCTCTGCTACATGTGACCTATAGCAAGCCAGTTAATCTCTGTGTGTGTCAGATCCCTATCAGTAAAATGGAGATAATGATTCCTTTCTCCTGCACATTGTCTGTTCAGATTGAGATCTCTGTGGCAGGGACGTCTCACTTACGTGTTTGTACAGTGCTGAGAATGGGACCCTGTTCTGAGCTGGGGATACTGTAATGCAAAGAGCTAATTTACTCTTATTCACATCACAGGCTTCCTTTTGCCTAGAAATATTTTTAAACCAATCTGTTTTACCTAAAGGGGTTAAATTACAGGACAAATGTTAGCGAACGTGACCTTGTTTTGCCAACTCCCAAATAATGGATTCACTGGACCCCACTTCATGAGGTTCACCCCTACTGGTATTTATAGCACAATGAATGATTAAGTGTAGATAAGTTGGCCTGTGTATGATGTATGTTAGCTCCTATTGTGTTATGTAATTGCCTAAGAGTGAAAGGACAGTTCTGGAAACACAAATTAAACAGTGGCCTTAGTGATTCCTGATGTGACACGTAGCCAGTGACCAGTAGAGGGCACCATACACCTCATGAAATGAGGTGCCACATGGGTCAGTAAGTCACACCATGTTCCAGAACTGCTCGCCTAGCACCATTGGCATTGTGTTTGGGTAGGAATGCAACGCTGCTACGAGGCCTTGTTCCACCTCTCCCTGGAAATGAATGGATTGTTGCATATACCTCTTCATTTAAGAGGTGTGGTGAGGACCTCAGCTGATGCATGTGTATAAATGGAATGGGTGATTTGTCTGCCAAAGGTGGGGTCCCATCTCATGATCCTTTGTGTCAGAGCTTGGAGGGGCTCAGTTACTTGTCTAATGAGCATCTGCTGAAGAAGATGCTGGTCCAAGGCCAAGTGGACTTTGCTGACTTGTCCCTGTGTCTGGGTGTATTAACTAGCATATTTATACCTGCAATGTTATGAAGTGTGGAGGAGGATCTCAGAAGGTGCCTGTGTGACAGGCCATCTCTGTGGGAGTGCAAAGGATAGGATTGTCTGCAGGGAGCAGAAAGAGAGTACAGACTGGGAAGGCTGCACAACTGGTCCGGTCTAGTGTCTTTTTTTCCGGTTTAGGTTATGGTTGCTTTGGAAGCAGTTTAAACAAAGTCTCAGGAAAAAAAAAAAAGGGCATCTCTTATTGCAGAATGAGTGTCCACTTGGGAAATGATACGGTATAAATACAGTGGGTTTACTACCTGGCTATCACTGGTGCAGCTTTCCGGCATAAAGTCCTGAATATGCCATTGACTTGCTGCGTGACCTTGAGCAAGTTGCATTCCTGCTCTGTGCCTTCAGTTTCTGTTCCTCAGCTGCAGAATGGGCATACTAACCCACCATTATGAAGCAGTTTAAGATTAAAGGTGGGAAAATATTATAGGACGGGTCTGATGGGGCCAAATTGTGTAGTGTAGCATTAGACGGCCTGATCCCACTTTTAGGTTTCATTTGCTCGATCACAGTTCCTCTTCGAGGTGTGTTTAGAAACTGTTCACTTGTTCTCACAAGGGTAACAGATAGATCTTCTACCCCAGCTATTCAAGAGCTTTTCTGTCTGCTTCAGGGATGATAAGATTGCTACCTCTGGCATAGGGAGAAAAATCATTCACTTATTTCCTGCATCACCCCACATCTGCTGCAATGTCCTAGTCTGGTGCTTTGGAATTGGAAGCAGCAGGGTTCCATCCCTGTAAACTGTGTCTAAAGAAACGCTTGTGCATAGCAGCTGCCGGGTAACTACACTAAGGAAGTTCCCTCTTTTTTTTGCAGCACCTTGATCGCAGTCAGCAGATTTTTCCTTCCTAAGTGAAGCGGCTGCTACTTAATGGAGTATTAGGCATGTGTGAATGATTGCAACCCAAGCTTTGGTGTTTGTGCTGCTCATACTCAATCTGTTCCGTGGACGATGTAGGAAGGCAGCCAGGAAAGTACAGTAGT